CCCAATCAGTGCGCAAAATTTGAACCCTGAAATGTTCCAAATTGCGCTCGGATATGTTTTGAAAAACATATGATACTTTATTTGATTTCACTATGGAAGCGCCAACCCCACAGGATATAAATATAGGAATGTGATCGCTAATATCACTAATTATTGTACCAGCGTCATGGACGTCTGTGCTAATATTGGTAACGAAAAGGTCAAGGGCACTGGAGCAGGAAATATTTATTCAAGTGGGAGACTGGATCACATTCACGAAGCCATTGGAACTGATGATGTTATCTAATTGCGATGATAAAGTCGAGTGTAACAGTGTGTTCACATTGAAATATCCACCAAGAAAAAGGGTTAATTTATTTAGAGATATAAATTCAAGATACCTATCTAGAAACGAACTAAACTTATCAAAACACGCCGATGGCGGTCTATATACTACTGAGAAAACTAAGTTGTTACTTCGTACAGTTAGTATTTCAAAATCATCTGTCATTTCAGTATACCTTGCTAGAAGTTCACACCTAATGTTTTGCCGAACGTAGATGGAAACACCTCCTCCGCGTTTCACCTGACGATTTAAATAAAAATGAGTATAGCCTTGCAAAGCATACATATCATCGTGGTCATGGTACCATGTTTCTGTTAGCATAAAGACGTCGAATTGAGATGGAAAATGAGAAATTAATGTGTCAAATGTATCCACTTTATTTCTGAGAGAGCGCACATTGAGGTGAAATGCAGAAAGAGCGTTCTTAGTTTGTAAGCATTTCATTACATCGGATGGCAAAATACAGTCGTGATACCGCATTTCCATTTGGCGAGACAGTCATTTACATCAATATCTAGCAAATTTTGACGAGATCATCTTCATTCACAAGTTGAACAATAGGCGTGCTGTCAGACTTCTGGGCGAATATCTTTCCATTTTTTGCCCAGACAAATTTCCAGTGAAATTCTCGCTTCCTCCCGATAGCTTTGCCAAGCAGACGCTTGAGCGCTGGGCATAAGTGCTCATTTACAAAAACTGGCGAAGCCGGCGAGAGGCCAAGATCAACAGAAGTGATACGCCCCTTCTTTGCCTTCTCAAGTACAGCATCGTGTTTACGGCGGTTTAGAAACTGGACGATGATGTTGCTTTCTCCAGCGATACGCGTCGGTACACGATGACACACTTCGATGTCGGAGTGCGTTATCGATTCACCGATGATCTCACCGATTTGGGTCAGAACGGTTCCGAGTTGTTCGTTATCACATTTTGGAATGCCTTTAATCTCTAGGTTTACGTTCCGCGTGTACTGCTCGCAGAGAAGCAGCCTAGTCTGACATTCTTTCATCTCTTTCTGCAAATCTGCATTTGTTTGACGAAGGCCTTCGTTTTCTTTTTTTAATGCTGCGTTTTCCTTGAGAACTTCGTCCAGTTTCTTTTTCATTAGTTCGAATTGGCCGTTCATGAAGTCCATGCTAGTCTTAACTTCACGTAAATCAGCTCGGATGTCTCTATCAAACGAGTCTTTCAGCGCTCTTACTTCTTTCTTTAAGTCCTCTTTTAACTCAGTGAACATTTTGGTGAGATACTTTGCGATATCGTAGGTACAAAACAAAAACAGAACAAACCAGCACAATACACTATACACTATGGCAGCAGCGACAGAAGAAATGAAAAAAAAAACACGTCAGACAACAGGATAATGAACACACCTGCAAATACGTGGTTCAGCGTTTAGTGCCGTGAACTGTTGGCTGTCGCTGCTGCCAAAAGACGGTGGTGTCGATGGTGGTCCCCTTTTACGCTACCGCTTCGATGATGTAATCGGCGCAGGCCAGTAGATGCGCGAGGTGATTGGTCCGTAGCGGCACGTGGCAGGGCAGACGGGTAAGCAGAGTTTCCGAGATGATGCGACGGTCCTGCACCTTGCCCGATGATACAGACGAGGCAGCAGCACAAGATATCTGCAAATACGTGGTTCAGCGTTTAGTGCCGTGAACTGTTGGCTGTCGCTGCTGCCAAAAGACGGTGGTGTCGATGGTGGTCCCCTTTTACGCTACCGCTTCGATGATGTAATCGGCGCAGGCCAGTAGATGCGCGAGGTGATTGGTCCGTAGCGGCACGTGGCAGGGCAGACGGATAAGCAGAGTTTCGGAGATGATGCGACGGTCCTGCACCTTGCCCGATGATACAGACGAGGCAGCAGCACAAGACATCTGCAAATACGTGGTTCAGCGTTTAGTGCCGTGAACTGTTGGCTGTCGCTGCTGCCAAAAGACGGTGGTGTCGATGGTGGTCCCCTTTTACGCTACCGCTTCGATGATGTAATCGGCGCAGGCCAGTAGATGCGCGAGGTGATTGGTCCGTAGCGGCACGTGGCAGGGCAGACGGATAAGCAGAGTTTCCGAGATGATGCGACGGTCCTGCACCTTGCCCGATGATACAGACGAGGCAGCAGCACGAGATATCTGCAAATACGTGGTTCAGCGTTTAGTGCCGTGAACTGTTGGCTGTCGCTGCTGCCAACAGTCGTCGGCCGGCCCTGGCTGGGAAAATGGGAGCTCCAGCCAAGGAAGCCCTTCCCTGGCTGTAGCATGGAAACCTTGGGCCAGAAAATAAAATGAAGTGCCAGGCTGGCGGACAATCGTATTCTTTGGGCGATGGTGGGCCAGCTTACTACAATCAAGCACCAATATTGGCCCAAGGTGGCCCAAGAAAGTGTGCTACCTGGGCAGTTTAACACCAACAAGGGTGGAAGGCTTGCATTTTAAGGTTATGATTATAATGCAACTAAATGCAATGGTGCTAGCGAGCTGTACGAGAATGACGAAAATTTCATTATAATCATAACCTTAAAATGCAAGCCCTCCACACTTGGTGTTAGACAGGTGGCATCTGATAAAAAATAGTTTGCTCAACTGACATCTAACACCGGGCTAGCTCAGTTGGTAGAGCGCTGCACTGACAGTGGAGAGGCCCCTGTTTGATACCCGGACCAGGAGGATTTTTTCGGGGGCGCACCAGTTACCTAGCTGTGTTTGGAGATTTGTATTTGTCCTTTGTCCCTCTTTTTCCCCTTCTCCAGGGATTATTTTCGCCATTCTCGTCCAGCTTGCCTGCACCATTGCAATTATATGCAATATAATCATAAACGTTTATTCACATTTTCTTGTAGATAACGTGTGTGCTGAGGTCAAGATGCGCATTTTTTTAAAACAGGGATCTAGAAAACGCTTCCCGCAACTCTCTGGCGTCCTTCGGCTGCGAGCTCCTGTTTCGATACCTCGAGCGCTACATGCACCGTGACGCTCGAGGAGGAGCTCTGCTCATATAACTTGTTCACAAATTTGAAATTGTCCTTTTTTTTCGTTTGGACTGAGTTTTGTTTCGTCTAAATATTTGATTTTTAGCCCTTTCTCGGGTAAATCAGCCTTGACGATAATACCACTGCTAAGCTAGAAGCACGAGCTCTTTTCATCAAGGAGCCGCATCGGCTGCACAAATCGCGCTCTGCAGATGCGACTTCACAATATGTATAAAGCTATGAGCTTGGCATTCTAGCCGGCAAAAAGTTCTCTTAAAGTTACGAGTATTTAATTAAAATGCTGTTATAAAATCGTCAGAATAGCAAAGCTGCCATATAAAGTGTTATTATTTTTCACGCCTGTTGAACGGAGCAGATTGTGCGAGAGGGCAACAGCAGTGTGCGTGCTCTTGCTCAATTGAAAACTGCCAGCACGTTGCCGTTTATAAGTTTTGTTACCAGATCAGGTGTCGGCCCATATTTTTTTAAAACAAACACGCGATATTAGCATTATATTACTCGTTTGAGCGATTTCAAAATATGATTCTAGTTGCGGGTCGATATCCTATGATAGAAATATATTTTAGAGCGCAGCTCTTAGGCGCCCGTTTCCGGCTTGAGCGGCGTCGCCGTCGCCGTCGCCGATGCTGTCGGCATAACCGTGAGGTCACGTGACCCCTCCCGTGGTCACGTGACCCCCAAGTCACGTGACCCCCAAGTCACGTGACCCTCCAAGTCACGTGATCCCCAGGTCACGTGACCCCCTCACTTCCCTCCCCTGATCACGCGACACCCGTGAGGGGAGGAGGAGAAAGGGGGGGAGCAGGGAGGATGAGCGGGGGGTGGAGGGGGGCGAATCGGAATTTCCATTACTCAGAAAAATGATTTTAAAAAACTTTTATCTCTTGTCCCTCGGCCGGCTTCGAACCGGAGCCCTTTCGTTCAGGAGTAGCAGGCAGGATCACGAGGGAGGAGGAGGGAGGAGGGGCATACCCTCCCCTCAGTACCTTTCCCCTCCTCCTCCTCAAGAGCTGCGCTCCAATTCGGCGTTACAGGGAGCTGTAAACGGCTTTCATTTTTTAAATTTTTGCTAACTCAAAATAAAATCGAAAGATAGATATTTTGTTGCTTTCTTTTTCGGTGAAAGCTTATATTGGGATTACACGTTCCAGGCGTTTCAAAGGTCTATTTCTAATGTGAATGCAGTGTTTCTTTAAACATGTCCAGGCTCTGTGCTCACAAAATGTATTTGAGTCAGACCTCTTTTTGCCGCCTTACGATTATCTGGAAGTGCTCCCTATGGCGCAGTATAGATCCCCCGGCATACTGTGAGGTAAGCATGTTTCATAGCGCTGACGTTCGCCGTAGAAGGCATTAAAAGCGCTAAATATAAGTTTTGTAACGGCATAACGTCTTAATATGACAGAGAGAGGAAATTTCTAAATGAATAACGACAACAAGATAGTCCTACAAGCACTACATTGATACTCAAGTACTGATGTTTAAATCTCGTTGTCTCGTAACTTAAGAAAAACAAGTGAGCATTGGTGTCGCTTCTGTTTAACAAATTGAGTAATTAACTTTGTTCCTCTTTAAAAGTTCGTCAATTGCCCAACTTAAGTTAAAACGGGATATATTCAATTCAAAACCGAAGGAAGCTCGCAAGTTCTGATCACACAGTCCGAGAAGTGAACAATTTGAGCAATTCAAGTCATGCACCAAAATATAACCCAGGAAAATAAGAAAAAGAAAGAGCAATGTAAAGTTGAATACCAATCGGAGTCAGTGCAATCCTCCGATACGCGAAATTATAATTACCCGAAAATATATATGGTGCAGTCGCTGATAACGCCTGCGGGGAGGAGTTGATTGAAGGGTTTAATAGAACAAGAAATGCAAACTATTCATTGATAACTGTAAGGAAAAGAGAATACTGTACGAGGTGATAGTTAAGTATTCCTGTATTATCTCCCCTGCCTTGCCTCCCTTCGTGCTTCTGGACACCATGTAATGTTTGCTGCCTACGCCTTTATCTCCTTGGAAATCTGCGGTAAGAGTGATTACGCCTTTGCAGGTACTTCGCCATCGTGCGACCACTGTGCGGTCGACTGTCAAGGTGCCACGCAGCGGTCACCATCGGCACTATCTGGGGGGCGTCGGGGCTCTTGGCGCTGCCGACGCTGCTCTTCTCGAGGACCAAGTCGTACCGCTACGGTGACGACGATGTGCGCATCGTCTGCTTGCTCGTCTGGCCCGACGGACCGCCGACCATCTCATCAGCCGAGTATCTGTAAGCCCCTCTCTCGTAGATACGTCAAAATATCAAACTAAAGTTTCTTAAAGTTGAATTAAAAAAAAAAAAAAAACACGCAAGAAAAGAAGCGGCAAGTAGAGTAATACCAGGTTTTGGCATATTAAAAAAATACAATTTTAGTTGGAACTTTAATAAGAAAATACGCAAACCAAGGAAACCCTGACTGATTATCTACAGGGATATTATCAACCGTTTCTTTGACATTAACTTGGAAGCGCTGTCTCGCATTCATAACATGCAATTCAGGTGAGATGATGAATGTGCTTTCAACATACCGTACAATGTAGGACCCCCAAAATTTCATCTTTTTTCTTTTTTTTTGCGGTGCCGCGTCATATTCATGTCAGTAAAATGTGGAAAGGGCTTGGATCTGCGACAGATGGTGAGGAGTTCCCCATCAGTCATTTAGATCGCATCCAAAAATCAACCCCGATATCAATGCTTTCTGCATATTAAGATGCAAAGAAGCATGTGCTTGAGTTGAAAATAAAGTCCGGTAAACCAATGCAAGATATAGCGTCTAAGTTACTACGAAGCCACTGGTTGATAACATCTACGTAGTAGGTTATTTGAGGTTTCCGTGGTTTTTGTTTGCTTCGATTAAATTTAAGTCAATGACAAAGCCTAGTTTGTTCTTTTCTTATGATCATTTATTGTTCGGCTTCTCTTTGACAATTTATCCCCAACTCGGCCAACTTTATAAACTTCTACAGTTCCTTACTTATAATATGAACTAATGTTAATTATTATGTGCTCTGTAACATTCTTATTTTTGAGGAATTCTAAAGCTTAATAAAAGTAATGACTGATTGTAGTAGCGATTATATAAACGTGCTGTAGAATATTGATTTTATAGGCAAAACTAACACCTCAATCATGCTCAACTTTGGGAGTTTATTCTACACTCATTTAGAAAGTTAAAAATGACATAAAATTTTGTAACTATGCATGTAAGTAAGTCATCTGGCGTAGTAACAGAGATACAAGAAATTGAACGTTTAAAGAACGCCATACTCAGAGGACAGAAGGTTTCCAAAAAATATTTTACTTATTTTAGCTAATGCAACTTTTTTTTTTTTTTTAAGCAGAAGTTTTATGCCTCAAAAGCAGTCCTCAGAGGCGGCGTTTCAGCTCTCAGCCAGGTTAATGTTTTTTACTAAAACATAGATCTCAAAAAAAAAAAAAATTAAACGCTGATTCCGCTTTAAGAAATTACCAGAGCTGCGTCCCACTCGTCATGTTTTCTTAAATTGTTTTGGCTGTCAGAAAAGGCAGACCCATTATGTTGACTTTAGTATCGGTGATGAATGGCTGATGGCACATCTGTGACTTGCACAGGTGCCGCTTCAGACTGCCTTCAAGCCTGCTTTTGTGGACTGTTGTTTAAATGTGTACTTTTCAATGCTGTGCCTTACCAATCGCCTTTTCCGATTTCTTGAGCTAGAATCATTTCCGAGGCTACGACATAAACTAAGAACGGTCTTATGAAGAGCAAAATCCTCTTGTAATTTGATGACTACAGCATCGAAGAATTTTGATTCCCTTCCGGTGGGCTGAATAAACACTAATACCATCATAAACCCGGAAAGCAATAGCCACAACTTCAGAAGCTAAATAAACCAAGCACCGAAATAACGTACACAACAGGGAAGGTTAACGCACTGGATGATCTCCGCGGCACCGGCTAGAGGGGCGAAGAAAGACGAATAACCTCACCTGTCCACTCCACTTTATTGGACGCGCCGGTGATCAAGCGCAAGCATTCCACCTCCTTCTGACTCGAGAGACGGATGGCCACGGCGCGAACCCGGGACAACTTGCAGCCATAAATCTTGCCCAGAAGTCCCTCTTTGTCTGGCGGCGTCAGGCCATTGCACCGGGGCCACCATCAGTCGCCTGATTGCGTCAGAAGAATCTGGTCAGTTGCAATTCGACGTAGTAGCGGCATCGCGCTTAACAGAGGGAAAAAAGTTCGAATTGTTTGTGACCCGGGATCAGTCAATGACATTTCTTCGGCATACGGTGCTGTGTATTTCTTCTTTCTTGTCCCTTTCTCTAAGCCGCCGCGAAAGTAGAAAGGACAGGAAGAAATCTATTCTGGGAAGCTTTCCTTTTTGCGCCGGATGTCTGGCTTCAATGAAGCTAAGATGCTGGCGCTAAAGCTGGTGTTTTACGGTCGATGTTCGCGAAAAAACAAAAAGCGAATTTACAGATTTAGAGGTCTGGGATTTGAGGGAGCTTTATTATTATTGTTTTAAGCATTCATTGACTAAGGATGACGAAGGAACCGACTAATTTATAATTGGGCTCATAATTGTTTTGCCAAGTGGATATCGTTGCCCTGTGCTCACTTTTCAAACTTTGAGGTCGATTATAATTACTTTATACTGCACTCTCGAGCTTATGAGTATTTCTTCAAAACACGTAGTCCGCTTTGAGCCATATAAAAACGCACCACCAAGATTTAGAACTGTTATCCACAGCGTGGTCAGTATTATGGGCGTAATATTTTTTTTCTATTTTTTACGGCATATTGTTGCCACTTATAGGTCGGTAGATATGTCCACCTTATCGACAGATTCGCCCTAAAGATGAATGCATTCGCGCTACTTGCGTGACGGCGTTTGTGTGACCCATAAAATCCGCCCTTTCTTAGTGCATCGCACCCACGCCTGGACTCGGCATCCAGCCTACCAGTGACCGAGAGATGGCATTCTCGGAGGGACCTTTTTAATGGCCCAGTACAGGTGGTAACCTCTGAATGCTATATTTCGCTTCACCTTACGTCCAGACATAGGCCAGGCTACGCGCTAATGGGAACAATCAGACATCGTCAAGAGCGTATAGTTATAGTGTTCGTCACGTTTCTGCATATGTTTTATTGCTACTAAACCAATCATAAACAGAAAAGGCCCCGTGACATGTGCTTGTGACATTGCTTGATTGGTCCAGTTAGCTCCTAGCGTCTGCTGCGTCTGGACTTAAGCTGGAACCCAGCATAGATGGGGCCGTACAGATTCTCGACAAAAAAAGGTCGTACGACGTGTTAGCAAGATGGCCGAACTCAACCAGGCGCCGGCCAATCCAGGCCCCAGGTAAATCAATGCGACGCCAAGATTGATCAAAGCCCGGTAAAGTTCGGCCATTCTTCCGAAGCCTCTTGCGACCTGTCAGCCGTTTGCGCGTGCATATGCACGAGCAAATCTGGGCACGTATGTTCACATGTTGGGGGCGATGAAAAAGAAAAGAAAAAGTACCGAAAGGACAATTCTGTTGCCATCATTGTTGAGCTAGAGTCACCTCTTCAGGCACGAGGGTAATGCACCACCGAAAGGTGGTGTAAGTGCATTCGGTTCCGGGAGGAGGGTGGGAAGCATGTTGATATTGCTACCAATCTCATAATGAACGGCATTTAAGAACAAACAAAATACTGTAAAGCCGTAACGTACGTTTCTTGCACGTCCACGCACATTGCTCCGTGATTCTTTTATCGGCATTTTTATTGGGGAATACCGCAATTGGCGAATACTATTGGGGAATACTCAGGACTAGCCCCGACCTTCGCTTCTTCAACGGTCAATGAGTAAAGGAGACCCGTATAAAACTTCGAGCGTTTGTAACATTTGACTGGTTGAAACAATGGATTGAGAAGATTGGGCTGCCATTTGATAGAATCCGATCGCTAACCTGTAGTCTAGTGTTTTGATTCTTGACATAAAAGCCAACCATTGTTCTCACATCAAATGCGGCAAAGGGGATAGAACATCCTGCACTGGCTGCGACCAAAGAGCATCGAATCAATAGGGGATCGATTGCGAGTACCTAATTCTCCCCTTACTTACTCCTCTACCCAAAGGCTATCTTCCACAATTCAGTACTTTAAGATTTAAGTCATTTTAACGAAAGCTTAGATGAATAAACAAATCTTTGACTGACGACAGTACAAGAAGGCTTTTATGCGGATGCAATAGTTGGAAATATGAGGTCAGAATTATATAACCAAATTACCTTAACGTATTAAAATGCGTATATCGTGTATGAATATTCAAAGTTCAAGCACAGTCGCCGGTTTCAGTGTTTAAGAACGTTTCAAAATATAATAATTAAGAAAAAAAAACTGAATAATTTGTTGAACCACAAAATGCACTTTAAATTTGTTTAAAAACATGTGCAAACATACGATGGATATTACATAGTCCCGCAGAGAGGACCCATATGAAGGAAATCTAACACTCATTAGCGTAAGTCACAATGTTAAAGGCTGTTTCACATGCTGCGATTCTCGTCCGAAATCAACGCAATTTCCAGTAAATGTGCGCTTAAAATCGCAGTCACACTGTCGCAGCGGCTCTGCGATTGGTTTCCACCAAGTTGGTATTTTGTCGCAGAGTCGGTGTGATCACTTCATTGTCAAGCAGCCGTTCATTCACCGTCACTTCATCGTCAACCAGCCGAGATAATTGCGTATTCGAAAATAAAATTAGCCACCTTAAAACGTTTGATTTAATGCTTAATTATTAATAATTTCCAGTTACATATTCTATTCGTAAAACATTTGTGTTCATTAAGACGCTTCTGTTGTATTTTAGGCAAAGTCAAACACGTCGCGTCCGTGTCCGAACAGCCGGCCGCGCCGACAGAAACGGCTCGGTTGCAGAAGCATGTGAAACCAAACACTGCGATCGCACACGCTGCGTCGGCGGTCGCAACGATTTTTTTTTTCGCAACAGTCGCTGCATGTGCACCAGGCTTTAGTGGTGCAAATTAAACTCAGTGTTGTGTGCCAGATTTATTTAAATACAATATTTCCTATTGTAAAATATAAAACAACAAGCACCCTTGTCAAGCATCAAATTGACGCCTGCGTCCTATGCTCGGAAAAGTGCTTATATTATGTCAAATGGTTGCTCCATATGGTTTAATAAGATATCAGTATATCAGGAGTATAACCCATGTTATGTTTTCAATAGGCTAAC